ACACACACACACACACACACACACACACACACACACACACACACACACACACCAGACACACACACATATTTAATAGATGAACAAATATCAGTAGATAATTATTTAAAATATTTGTAAAATAGCAGAAACATATTCGTATTATATCAGAGAAATTATAGTAATAGATTCTGAAAGTGTGTGCGTGTGTGTGTGTGTGTGTGTGTGTGTGTGTGTGTGTGTGTGTGTGTGTGTGTGTGTGTGTGTGTACCTTGGCACAGCCCCCCCACACTGTGGTACCCGGGCTGACAGGACACACAGCTGTACGATCCCTCTGTGTTCACACACTGCTGACCAGGACACGAGCCGCTGTCCTCACACTCATCTACATCTACAAACAAAACGATGCATGAGAATAAAGACAAGGTGTGTGTGTGTGTGTGTGTGTGTGTGTGTGTGTGTGTGTGTGTGTGTACCTGCACACTGTCTGTTGGTGAGTGTGTATCCCGTTCTGCACGACATACAGCGGTACGATCCCACCGTGTTCACACACATCTGACCTGGACACTGAGAAAGCTCTGCACACTCATCCACATCTACACACACACACACACACACACACACACACACACACACACACACACACACACACACACACACACACACACACACACACACACACACACACACGCACACACACACACACACACAAAATATGAATACAAATACAAAAAATGATATATATTTTTTACTAAAACTGCAAAAGTTATCAGTCAAATACCCGCTAAAAATGTAATTAAAATCCTCAACACTTGGTGTCAGTCCACCTCGTCCTCTTTACCTGTGCAGGTGTTGTTCTGCAGCTTGTATCCATGGCGACAGACGCAGTGGAAGCTTCCCGGTGTGTTTTCACAGCGACCGTTGGAGCACGGCGCCCGGCGACACTCGTCAACGTCTATAGATATTAATAAAATATACATAAAAATAAACCTTGGTAAAATAGCAGAAAAATACTATTAAAATTAATTTAAAATATAACCAAAATACCCATTAAATATTAGTAAAATAACAGAAACATATTGGCAAATTATCCAACAGAAATGTGTAAAACATCTGAAAAATAACATTAAATTGGCCTGAATATTTCAGTCAAATATAAAAAAATAAACAAGTGAGAAAGCAGAAGCAAATTAGTTAAATATATCGGGGAACGACTTCACGCTGTGTTTCCTGACGGACACACAGCGTGAAGTCAGGTGACACGTTGTTGGGAAAACACTGTATGTCCTCTTCCAGTATCAGAGTACACATGCTAACAAAGGTATCCCAACTGTAGCTGAGTACATGACAGGATGTGTGATTACCTAGAAGAGCATCAGGACTGTTTGAGGCATATGATAGCTATGTGATTAACATGATGATTCAGCCTCTATGGAGATAGACATATGACAAGCATGCTCATTTCTGACGTGGAGCTAATCTGAAGTAAACATTGAATACTGCTTTCTATTCCTCCATCTTGTGACTGTGTAACTCCCTCTCTTGGATATCAGCATGTGAAGGACACTGTTCAGGAACTAGTTGATGCTCTGTATGTGATGACTACTTCCATTCTGGAGAGGATCACAGATACATGGATCCTGAGACTGAAGCTCAAGCCGGGGACCAGTGATTATTAAAAATGTTAAGTGTTCAGAAAAAGTCTGAATTTTGAGAAAAAGTCTGAATTTTGAGAAAGTCTGAATTTTGAGAAAAAGTCTGAATTTTGAGAAAAAGTCTGAATTTTGAGAAAAAGTCAAAATTTTGAGAAAAAAACTGCATTTTGAGAAAAAGTCTGAATTTTGAGAAAAAGTCTGAATTTTGAGAAAAAAACTGCATTTTGAGAAAAAGTCTGAACTTTTGAGAAAAAAACTGCATTTTGAGAAAAAGTCTGAATTTTGAGAAAAAGTCTGCATTTTGAGAAAAAAACTGCATTTTTTGAAAAAGTCAGAATGTTTTGTAAAAGTCAGAATTTTGAGAAAAATACCAACAAATTCTCTTTTTTTGTTTTGACTATTTCCATTCTTGAGAGGATCATAAATACATGGATCCTGAGATTGAAGCTCAAGCCAGTGAGATTTTTCTAGCACACCTTCATTTTTGATTGAGCCCTTGTGTTCTGTTTGATATGGTTCATAATGCCCTCAGTTTGATTTCACATGTTCAATAAAGATAATAATAATAATAGAACACACACACCTGTGCAGAGTCTGTTGATGAGTCTGAACCCCGGTCTGCAGGAGACGCAGCGATACGAACCGAGACTGTTCAAACACTCCTGACCCGGACACTGCAGGGGGTCCTCACACTCATCCACATCTACACACACACACACACACACACACACACACACACACACACACACACACACACACACACACACACACACACACACACACACACACACACACACACACACACACACACACACACACACACACACATGTTTTAAACACTTTCGAACAGTGCATGCTGGATCCGTTTGAAGCCAGAGAAATTACAAAATGTGTAAGTACTAAAAGTATTAAATATCCATTAAAATATTAAGAATCAAAGATCTGAAAGACAGTAAAATATCCCTAAAAGGTTTTTTTTATATGTAGGTACACTATGAATGAAATATTCAAATTAATAGTAAAATAACCCAAAAATATCCCCAAATATGTTTTGTAAAATATCTGGAAAGACATAAGGTTATTATATCCTTTAAGGTAATATCTTCACAAAAAATAATTACAAAAATATTAAAAGAATATAAAAAATATCCCAATCTTTAGTAAAAATATTCCAAGAATATCAGAAAATACAAATAAAATATTGACAAAAATCATAAATAATATATTTGAAAAGCATGTTAGTAAATTACCTGTGCAGACGTTGCCGATGAGCCGGTAACCAAGGCGACAGACACACCTGTAGCTGCCCGGTGTGTTGTCACAGCGACCGTCGCTGCACGGAGACTGAAGACACTCGTCCACGTCTGAGGAGAGAGAAGAGGTTAAAGAGGAGAAGAAGGCCCAATCCCAAACCACGCCCTACCCCCTACCCACTCCCCCTACACCCTACCCCTACCCACTCCCCCTACACCCTACCCCTACCCACTCCCCCTCCGTGACAGAGTGAACTCAACGAGGCTCCTCCTGTCAGATGGAGGGAGTAGATACAGCGGCAAGCTTTGGGACAAACTCCCCTCTCTCCGGCAGAAACAGGAAATGCCGTAACTGTAACAACGGTTTCTAATCAGCATCTCTTTGACAAAACATTAAAATTAATATCTCAAATAAAACTCCTAAATAAAATTACTTTTTTGTAAAGCTCTTTTAGTTTTAAACCTGATGTTTATAAGCTTCTTAGTTTTTGCAACAGTCTGTAAATATACACAACTTTATAATAAAATGCACACATTGACCTTTTTCTAGACTAAACACAGGTATGATCCTAAGTTAAAAACATATGAGGTTATCATGAGGTAGTTAACATCGTAATGTATCAGTGGATGTTTGCTGGAACTGTTTGTAAACAGCGTGTTTCCTGACGGACACACACAGCGTGACTCCGGTCAGGTAGAGACCAGTCTCCAGTCAGCACCGCTGCAGACTCGCTGTTTGAGGGCTTGATAGCCCACTCCCCCTCCACACCGCTCCACACTCGTTGGTTTGGAACAGCACTTAATGTGGCGGACCCTCCGCGCGAACGGAGGGGTAGTGTGTAGGGCATGGTTTGGGATTGGGCCGTAGAACAAGAACAAGAAGTGGAAGAAGAGACAGGAAGTGGAAGAAGAGACAGGAAGTGGAAATTAAACAGGAAGTGGAAGAAGAAGAAACAGTAGTGAACATCACCTTGACAGCTGGTCTGCTGGCTGGTGCTCCTGTACCCTGACGGACACACACACCTGTAGCTCCCCACGGAGTTCACACACTGTCCCACTGCACACACAGCTGGAGACTGCACACACTCATTCACATCTGCACACACACATACAATAAAAAACTTGTCAGAAATCCTTCAAAAACATTAGAACAATTTCCCATAAACATTTTGTTGAAATCTTTAAAAAATATTGCAAACGTTTTTGGAAAATATTAGAAGAATGTCAGCCAACATTTTTAAAAACACATTTAAATATAACAGTCAGAAGGTAACTGTACGACATTTAAAAAGAAATTGTAAACATATAATCTTTTATTTTTTTTATATCCATTTGATATCAAACCAATCTTTCTTATATAATAAATAAGTGTCATTAAAGATGTCTGACCTTGGCAGGATGTGCGCTGAGAGTTGATCTGGTGCCCCTGGTCACACACACAGGTGTGTTTCCCCCCTGGCTGATCCACGCAGCGACCACGCCCACACACACCGGGTCTGCTCTCACACACACCTCGCACTGCTGCACACACACACACACACACACACACACACACACACACACACACACACACACACACACACACACACACACACACACACACACACACACACACACACACACACACACACACACACACGTAATTCTTTACTTTATATTCTGCTTTTCTTTATTATATCTCATGTCTCCTGTCTTGTCATTATTAGGTAACTGAAGCTGTTGTTGTTGTTGTTGTTGTTTGATGTCAAGTGTTTTATATTAGAGGTGTATAACTATGTGGTGCAGGTACTGACTCTGGACCCGGGCTGGTGGGGGGGTCGGGCTCTGGAGAGGAGGCCGTTCTCCGACAGGTCTCGACCCGCGGTCGGGGCTCTGAGGCTGGGCCGGAGCGGGGAGGGAGACCCCCCCTGCTGGAGGATCGGAGGAGGAGCGACTCCCTGCAGAGAGAGGAGACTTGTGTTACCGCTCACAATATATGATTAAAATAGTAGAAACTAAATTAGTAAAGTGTCCGACAAAAGAATATACGAAATAATAAAGTAAAATATCTCTAAAAATATCAACCTAAAATGTTATTCAAATAATAAAGAAGGAGCAAATGCAAGAATATTTTAAT